AATTCATTTGTTTGCCAGGCCGGGGTCTGTGTCATTTACCCTTCTATAACAGAATAAGACCCAGTGTGGTGACAACTAAAGGACCCCAGGGTCAAGTCCCAGTGAGCTCTGATCTGTATAGAGTATACATGTTATTCCCGTGCATGCGTCTGGTTTCTCCCTGTTCTCCAGTTACTCCCCACTTTCCAAAAAGTATACAGCTTAGGTTAATTGTCTACTCTTAATTGACCAGATGTGTGATGGTGGTGTGAATGGCTGTGTTTGTTTCTATATGAGTACCTGTGATAGGCTGGAACAAACTGTCCAGAATAAAGACAGATAATAAAGATAGAGGGTGAGCAGGTTTTTTTCAGGATGTGCCTGGGTTTACAATGAGCAAACAGTGAGATAAGGTAGAGGGGGACGACAGATGGCTGCTGGAGAAGAAGTACATCGGAGCAGGATCAAAGATGGCTTCTTCCTCTGTATAGCCTGCTTTGTTGTCAGTTGACCCCGACATCATGCAGATTAACGCCAGGTTATTTAAAAATGTGGAACACTTCCAGAAAATGTTCTTTTAACCAAACTAATCACAAAAATATTATGAGAATAGAATAGAATAGAATAGAATAGAATAGAATAGAATAGAATGAACCTCTTACAATGTTTGCAAACATCTATATCAGGGCTGGAAGTTCAACCTCTACTTGATTTGAATTAAATGCAGAAAAAGTGTTTAAACCCCAGCTTTCACAGTAAACTTTTGATGCACAGGCTACACTGCACACAGTCCACCTCACCTAGAGTCAGACTTTTGGTATTAAAATGTATTTGATACAAATTTAATAATATGCAATAAATCAATATAATCTGGTGAATCTGATTAATTGTAAATAATAAAAAACCCATACATTTACATATATCCAAAAAGTAGTGCAGCGATCAGGAGGAGTTAATTAAGGTGATGCAGTGCAACGATCCAGATGAGTTAATTAAGGTGATATAGTGTAGTAGCAAACCTGGAGAGCAATAAACTTGGAAAAGCTATAAAAGGCAATAAAAAGGTAAACCGTTGATGCAAAGTTGATGAAAATGACAAAAAGAAAAAAAAAAAGAAAAAAAAAAAGTCACAACCAGCCAGAGGCAGTGTGGCCAAAATACAGTGACACTGCAATCAAACCATTGGCATCACTGTTTGTTGTTACTTGTTATACTCGCTCCTCCTCTGTAAGTCAGATTTCCTGAGCTTTCAGTGGACTCTCGCGGTCCTCAGGGAAACAGACTATTACAGACATTTGCTTCATAACTCTCACTGGTTATTAATGACCTGGGCTGTCAGGCTCAGGTAAGGTGCACATGTAAGTAAGCGATCTTTAAATATAACGCTAAGTTATGACATTTGTGTTGTAAATCCAGAGCTTGCTCTTTCCATCATCATCATCATCTTCTTCTTCTTCATCATCATCATCTTTATCCATTTTTGCTTAAAAAAAAGAATCTTCCAGACCACGTCCATGTGATGAACCCTACACTGGTGTCTTTTTTACAGGCGTTCCCTCCGCCTCTGCTCTTCAAGGGTTTTCAAGGGTATGATAAAAATATCAATTTTATACCTTACATCCTTTATTCCTCCTACTTTACCTTATATAACACCATTACGGTCAACACTTGTGCCATTTCACTATTTATTTTCAGCTCAGTGGTGTTTCCAGTAGAGCGACGTAATGTCTCTGCTGTGGTGCTGGGGGTTAGTTTGCTCCGTCTTCTGGCTGAGTTAGCTGGTTAAATCTTCCTTGGCTCTGGGTCCTTTGTTTAACTGCCTTCAGGAAGAATAACATGGATCTATGTGGCTGAAGCCAGAGATGGAGCTAGTGTCTGCTGGAGTCCAAGTAGGAGGTGAACTGACATTTACATAGAGCCACGTCTGAAATCCTACTGGCCACCCATAACAAACTAAGTGTATATGTCCATTACTTATATACAGTCAATGGTTGATACAGCCGCAGTCAAGGGAGGGTTGGCGTCAAGTGATGCTGCCCGTATTAAAATTCTCCCTCCTGAAATGTTGGCAAATACTGCACATGCACATCTATTGTTCCTGTTTGTTTTTGCTGTTCACCCACTTTTTATATATGCACATACTGATTGCGCTGAGCACACTTTCTGCAGAGTTTTGGGCATGGCTCTACATTTTCTCCTGTGCTATGCCCGGTGGATTTGCAGGGTTGCTTTTGCATTCAGGAAGACAGATGCTGAACTAAGCGTGGGCATCTTAAAGGCCCACCAAAACCACTGACCCGTTTACACGCTGAGGACATCTACCGTTAGGATAGCATCTGCCCCTATTAGCATACTATTACCACACATTATCATACAACAACCACAGCTGACAAGGCCTAGAGAAACAGAGTTAGCTGGCTAACACACCACACAGGCGGCGTCCACTGCCTTGGTTACTGCAGTTTTCTAATGGACTGTCTGTGCCAAATATGATGCTGCGGAATTAGAAACCTGTAACTCATACATAAAGTCTGCAGCTGTGATTAAGCTGCTTTCAATATGATGTCTGCATCTGTCTCACAGCAGGTCAGACACTGTTGCCTTGAGACAACGTGTTTTACATATTAAGGAGTTCTCATGATTAGTTATTCAAATTATCCCTAAAGGCAAGCCAGGAAATTACTGAAAAATAAGTAAGAGAAAAATAGCTGTTAGTTGTCAAACCTTAGCTGAAGTACAATAAAAACTGGGTAAATATTGCCCTCTATCTTAAAATAATTTACCATTCTGACTAAAAATTAGAACATAGCAAACCATTTTAACTTTAAGGTTATACTTTGGTAACAGATAACAAAATATATTTTCAAATCAAAACTAATATTATAACTAATATTTGGTTAGATAATGTCTGTATTAATGCTAGCTACATATATAGTTTTACAGCCAAATAGTTAATTAACCATAAACCTATGATTTTGTATTTTAAAAAATTATATTAAGTATAAAATAAGGAAAGAAACAGAAACAAATCAGAAGAATTAGCCATTTAAAAATAACAACAGCCAAAAAACAATTAGCTTAAACTAACTCTTACCAAAAAGTACAAAATAATATTATATAATAGTAAATACATACTCTAACACTTATATTATTCCCTTTCCGTCATTTTTTTGTGTCACTTCTGCCTCGGACCATTCACTGCTCAAATTTCCCAAGTGAGAGATCAATAAAATCAATTGTAATTTAATAAACTCTAAGATAAAAAATGAAATAAAAGTCCAAGCATTCGCTTTTTATGATGTGTTTTCCTCTCATTCAGTTAAGAGACGGTTCTATTTTTTTTTATGAATCGTGGGTATTAGAGCTGTTAGCATATCGCCACCACTGATCTCTCTGTGCTCCATTCACTGTCTTTTCCACAGACCTGTCTGTGAGCCTCAGTCAGACTGATAACTGATAACACGGCGGCCAAAAAAATTTGAGCCATTTAGTGAATGTCTCCCCGAATACGTTTGACATTTTTTCTCAATATATTCAAGGCCTTTCCAGCTGGAAACCGGAGTCATTAAAATACTCCCTTCCTGTGCCAAAGTCCAAATGATGACAGATTTTATCTTCACCATTTGGTACAAATACATTTTATGTTGTGGCTGTTGAAGGGAAACCTCAGTTTGGGCCCAACTATTTTAATACAATTTTTGTCCCAACACAGAAAAATGTGCAATATTAAATTCAGCAAGCAGCTTGAACAAAGAAAATGTAATGGTACAAAGCTAAAAAAAAACAGCATGTGTGAAAAATATAAAAAAATTATTATCATGATCAACCAGCACTCACTGACCTACTGGTAGACCGCAACCTCCTTATTGGGCACCACTTTATAAACAATGTTCAGTTTATATGAGAAAACATACTTTTAATGTGTTCAATGTAGGTAGATCACTTTAGCCTGCTCATCTGTAGTAAACAAAAACATGTGGACACCCTGATGTAGACCCAATGCTCACTGGTCTACATCAGGAACTGTTAAAGTGTCTTCTTCTTCTTGCTTCTGTCTCTCTGCCAGGTAGTATTACAAAAACGTGTTGTTAATGCGTCGTTAAAACCACACTAAACCTCATTTATATCCTCAATATACCTCGAGTCTCGTGGATGAAGTAACACAACTTTTTTTGTTGTTGTTGCTACAAATTACAAATATCTCTCTCTCCCGCCCACCTAGAAAATCAATGTGTTTGTTTAGGCTCTAAATACCTCAATGGCTACAGGCCTTGGCCACTGTTGCACTGGAGGAAACTCCAGGCAGGAGCTCAAATCAAAACAAAGAAAAACAAAACAAAAAAAAAAAAACCCGAAATAATGTTTGTTGTCGAGTTTGTGAATAAAACATAGAGTCGTACTGGCAGAATTAATTAAATTGGCACCGAACACTAAAAGTTTGAAAAGTAATCTCCAGATTCTATTGCAGGGTTTTTACTCAGTGCTGCACTATTTCCCCGTGTTACACCACACTGAACATGTGATGGTTTAAGCCGTGTGACTTGATCGTTCCTGACAAATTGCACCGTGGGAGTTGTAGTCAACATCTATCTCTTTAAGCTACACATGCAGACTGCTACATCCGGCTGTCACTCATGTTACATCCCCAAAATAGACAAGAAGCAATTGTGCCAAATGTTGTTCAGTACAACTGACATTCAGATCGCCTGCAGCCAGTATCACCCTTCATGGGCCACATTAGTATTAGTATGGAGGCAACATTTGGCATTCTATAAAGGGGTCACTTTAGATTCTCTTCTCCTTTGTCAAGGCCGGAGATCTCTGAACTGTTTTACTCCAATGAAACTGAAACTGCAAAAAGATAAAACAAAATAAATAAGTAAATAGTGAGCTTGTTACCCTGCAACAAGACCGTCCCGTCTGGCAATAGTGGGAAACTCTGGGACACAAAGAGTGTCCAGTCTTGTCTGTTGTGGTCAATGTATGAAACACTGTTCATGAGGAAAGGCAGTTTAAAGAGAAACTAATTTTAAAGACAAAACACTGGTGATATTTTTGGGGATGTCTTACGTCGTCTTAAGAAGGGTGTTATTAGCAGGGAAACAGTCATTTTTAAATAAAACCTCTTTCACACGTAGCAAAACATCATAAAAAGCAGGTTATGTATTTGTTCTGTTCAACCCAGTTGGTCAGATTTTCCCAACCAGGGGCACGTGGAACCTTAATGGTACACTAGGGCACCATTGTGGGGAAATACAGAGAGTTGAAGTTCATTTTAAACATACAATATTTAGTAGTCTTTTTCACCGTTCTGTAACTAAGGAGACTGGACTTCAGAATGTATTTGTACTTCATTAGACATGGACAGGTGTCTAATGTGAGGTGTTGACTTACAGGTTAGGGTCCTCAGGTCTGGATGAGTGCTCTGCTGTCTGGGTGTGATGTTCAGGACAGAATAACTCTCTGCCATTTCTATGGAAGAGAAGTAGAAAGTTTGGGTCTGAGATGCTGCAGTGTTTTCCAGCTTCACTGCAGAGACTGAAAAATCACAATTTCCAGGTTTATATTTCTCTCCTGTGAGCGCTGGAATACTTGATTACATGTGGGGCCTGTTTATGTTGTGTACATCATTCCTTCTTCACACATACACCGGTGGGCCTGTGGTAATAATTAAACATGTTTCCTATACAGTACTTCATCCTCGGCTTCGCAGCTCAGTTATCTACAACCAGCCACTGGTAACATGCAAAAATAGCCCTTTGCAGCATTTACGCCTCAGCAGTCTGATGTCAGAGTTTTTAAATCACAGCAGTGAGATTTTTTCCTGTGTCAAATGAACGGTTCAATTTTTTTCTTCTTAGGTTTTTACAACCTCGTGATGTTTCTCTTTTGCACATTTCACAGGAAGTGTGAACAACAGCGATCCAACTGCTAATTAAACACGGCATCAGCATGTGTTTGACAAGCTTTTTCGGTGGGGGGATATTTTTGGCTTTGCATTCGTGAAGAGAGTTGATGAGATTGTTGCTGTGTAAACCCAGGGTGTCCAGACTTTTTAAAGAGAAGCCAAGTAACATAAGGAAAATATACCTCTGGGCTAACAGTGCCTCCTCTGCTACCAAGAGTTTAGATAACCAGTAAACATACAAAAACACTAGATTTGAATGAATAATTAAACAAATGAAAAACAAACTCTGCTGTTTTCATGGAGATGGAGTTTTTAGGTTTGGGACTGATTTTTTTCATATTTCCAAAGCAGACTGTGCTGTTACACAGAAAAACACGTAAAACAAAGAGTTCACCCAGAATTACCTGAAAGTAAACAGAGCTATTTGAATATTTTTTTCTAAATGTTCAAATCAAATGTTATAAAATATAAAATGTATTTAAAAATCCAATCAGCCTAGGAAACCAAAAATAAAAACCGTCAGCTAGGCTTTCCAAAAATAAATTAAAACTTACAAAAGGAAATAGTGAATGTATTAACTGTGTGACAAAAATGTAAAAAGCGAGAAAAGGACAGAAAGTAGTAAAAACAGTTTAATAATATAAACTTAAAGCAGACCAAAATTAGATGAAAAATGAAGATACGTAATATAATATTCTATTGTATACATGTGGCTATTAAAACTTTACCATCACAATGCTGTGTCTGTTTTTACTGTTTAAAAATCCGACATCCCACAGGCAATAAAAAACGAAATTAAAAAAGCTCACTACTCTGTAATACTGTCAATAAAAAAAGGCTGTAGGAGAAAAAACAAACAGAAACGCTGTGACCGAGGTATCACTCCACAGACACAGACCGCACTAACCCTCCGTGAGCGTATATCAACCTGAGAATGATTTTGCATTGACTTTCACTTGGACTTTTATCTATGTCAGCTCTTCGGCAGGTCTTACAGCTGACGAGGATCAATGAATTTCATCTCTGGTCGCACTTCTGTTGATCACGCAGCACTCAATAATACCCAGCACCGTGGTACTCGCGGCTGATGAAATACTGATGATGTAAAACAAGATTACTGCAGGTGGCCTCCCCGTGTTCCTCCTCTGCCTCTGTTGTTTGGTTTTTCTGCACCACGTCAGCTGAGGTGCAGGCAGATGTTAGGACCTCGCTGGGATCTCGGAGGTGTCACATCAAAGCATCGGAGCTCAGGCTCATTAATGGCAAACTAATCATCCAGATGTCAAGATGCAACCAGAAACTAAGGCTGTGTGCAGCTCTGGGTCGCAGCATCAGCGTGTTCAAGCTGGGATCACATGACAAAGATCAAGATGTGGGCAGACCTTAGGAGGTCGCTCCTGTTCTGTTACAAACATCTTTCATACTGGTTATGCCTTGTTGGCCTGTGTAGCTCTTACCGTGACTATTATGTACCGTGATTGGTCTAAATCAGGGGTTTGCCCTGAAAAGTTTAACATGCTCACCTCCCAGGGGGCACCACAGTATTTTGGAGGTAGGTGTACAACACAGAAAACAAAGACATGAACCACATGTTGGAGAAACCACCTAAGTGTAGAAGTGGGACTAATCAGTGGAAGTCATGAGAAACAACCCTGAAGATTCATCTAGTCTCCACAACATTCACCCCTAGTGTCAGAACTGAGAAACACACGGAGCAGCAGCCGAAACAGGAATCAACACCAAGGAGCTGTGCTGTCTTTCATAATAAAAAATCCAAGTTGACCTAAACCACAGAGTCACACCTGGTCACTAAACGTCTTCTCCACAATTGATACTTTGTATTCTTCTGGAAAACACAGCCTAGTGTCCTGTGTTGGATCACCACTGCTGGCGTGGAACAACATCTAATGTAGCTAACTCTGGAATGAGGAGAAATAGATGGATTGTGAGAAGAACAACCAATGTTGGATGTCCATTTCTGTCATCGTTTGACCATAACAACAAAACAGGAGGGTTCATTTTTGCAACAAAAAATAAATTATACTACAAAACATCTCTCAAACTCTGTTTGTGCTCATGCAATCACTGTGCTCGTGTGTGGTCAGGGGGGGAGGGCTGGAATTGTCTTTCTGCTCCTTGGAGGGAGGCTCACGCTGTTACACTTAAAAAAAACATGGCTTAAATAATTAAGAAGGAGATGCAGAAAATATGGGATAAAAAATACAACCATTCACTGTCGGATCTTGGCGATAACAATAATAGAGATTTTGCTCTTGCCTTGACCTGGTAAACAGGTGTATCTCACAGGTGAACCAACAACTGTACTACAGAGACCGACTAGAATAGTAGTAGAATATTTAAAAACCTAAACACTTTCTCAACTTTGGTCAAATTCCCTTGAGTTTTTCTGCCTTTGGGCTGCAAAAATGTAAAGGTTTTGTGAAAATTCAAAGGTCTCCGTGGGGAAGGCGTGCTCACACCCTTTGATGTGTTCTATAAGGTCGATCAGGGTTTGTCATCGTCTTTGGATCGTCTCCTGTGGGGCCGTGTCACTGTCACTTTTTGTCTCTGTCCCTCACCACTCAGATCTGTGTAATTATGATAATCCTCGGGGATTAAAATGGTCTGTGATGTCTGGATGGAAACTCACACACTGTCATTTGATGTGTTATATGAAAAGTCTGTGTGAAGGTTGGTTGTTGTCATCAGTCATGCTGTCCGTTGTCTCTGCTCAGGCTCTAACAGGAGTGATTATATTCATTAATAGAGGCTTCGCACCGATGTCAGGAAAGTGTTTGGAGTGTGACTCGTCGTCGTTTCTGGGTGTTGTCTTTTTCTGGCAACAACCAGAAACACTTTAAAAACTCTACATCTGTTGTGGTTTTTACTAGTTTTGTGACGTCCAAGCTCTATTTAAATAATATGTAAGCTTTCAGATAGACGGATATACAGATAGATAGACAGATAGACAGATAGATAGATAGACAGACAGATAGACAGACAGATAGATAGACAGATAGATAGGTAGATAGATAGATAGATAGATAGATAGACAGACAGATAGACAGACAGATAGATAGACAGACAGACAGACAGACAGACAGACAGACAGACAGATAGATAGATAGAGAGATAGATATATAGATAGATAGATAGATAGATAGATAGATTGATAGATAGATAGATAGATAGATAGATAAATAGATAGATAGATAGATAGATAGATAAATAGATAGATAGATAGATAGATAGATAAATAGATAGATAGATAGATAGATAGACAGATAGATAGATAGACAGACAGATAGACAGACAGATAGATAGATAGATAGATAGATAGGCAGACAGATAGATAGATAGATAGATAGATAGATAAATAGATAGATAGATAGATAGATAGATAGATAGATAAATAGATAGACAGACAGATAGATAGACAGATAGATAGGTAGATAGATAGATAGATAGATAGATAGGCAGACAGATAGATAGACAGATAGATAGGTAGGTAGATAGATAGATAGATAGATAGATAGATGAATACTTTATTGATCTTAAAGGGAAATTACGGCAACAAGGAGCTCAGACAGACCTTTTATGTGTTCTGTTATTTTCACTTGTGCCCTGACATTCTGGGGAGAATTGAGAACGGCAAGAGAAGAAGGAAAATTGGTGAAATGGCTGTGTTATTTGGAGCAAAAATTGACCATCCGTTTTTCATTTAACATGCAACCTTCATTCAAGCAACCATCCTCTCCCTCTTGACCGTTTTCCTCTCTATTGACAGAAATCACAATGAAGTATTTGAGTGTTTGATAAATTCATCAATTATGCACAGGCATTATCTTGGCCTTTTCAGGCATGCAGAATCAATGCTTATGGCAGAGCACCCTGTCTCAGTGTGTTCTTCAGCCTGTGTGCAGGCAGACACTTGGGAAATAGCCAGGGGAGGAAGATGAAAGTGAGAGGTATCGCTTCCATCCACCACAGACAGTTGTTCATGAATATCAAAGGACAGCTGCGAATGAATTGAAGAAGCGTCTCATCATTTTTTACTCATTATCTTATAGCAGAAGAACATACTGCAATTTAATAGTTTTATAGCCTCCAAGGTTAGGGACTATTATTCACTCACCTCCATAAAGTTTAATTAAACAATATTGATTCGGCCAAGAGAACCCTGTCGATGCAGGTCAAAGAAGAAGAAGAAAAAAAACACTCCTTTTCCTGTGAGTGTTATTTTCCTTTTTTTTTTCTAAACAGGTAAAAGGGTATTGACATGGCATTTGTGATTTCAAAGTTTTCTTACTTACAGTATGTGTTTTTGAAGAATGCTTGAAGAATAAAGGAAACGTCCTTCTCCTCCTCCTCCTCCTCCTCTTCATCCTGCGGCCACTTAAATGTTGCTCCTTTGCTGCTGTCCTTTTGCTCCTGCTGGGTATTGCCGTGGCAACGTGGTGGAAAACAAGTGGTTCTCTTCAATACGCAGACATTAGGGTCGACACCAATCTGGGGAGGGGGCAGTGATAAAGTCACTTCAAAGAAAAACAACGGCAGACATCACAGGCAGACTGACAACAGAGACACAGACTGGTGGAATTAATAGAAGAGTTCCTTATTGTCCTTCTTCACTGACGTCAGTTTTTATATCAGTATGAAACAGTCAGATACAGTATGTCTGTGTGAAACGGCTTTTCTTTGACAACACCTGTGAGGATTAGTGTAGTAAACAGAGCTGTGGACCAATCAATAGTCGCAGAGACTAGTAACACAGCTCTTTAAAGCAGTGCTCGGCAAATCACCTTTATAATTGCTCTAGTCGTTAACGTAATCGATATTCGGTGTCAAATAAATTCTAATACCCTTGGCTTGTACCTTTGCCACAGTGGTAGTCTGCATAGAGATTTAGCTTCTTTTTTTTCACAAAGCTGAGGAACAGTGACTAGGTGATATTGAACACAGCACCTCATGGTGGCAGGCAGGTTGCCTTGCCCTTTTATCAGACCTCGCCACAGTGGTGGTTTGCATTTGATCCTTTGGTGGACTGAAATAAAATGCTACTTAGAGAACTACAGCTTAAATAGAAATATAAAAATGTTGGCCCAGAGACACTTAGATGTTGGACAAAACACTGTTCCCTTCTTCATCCCCATTTACAGCCCATCCACTGTTGATGAAACACACTCAGGGGCCCTATAGAAGGACGGTGAAGTGTGAAATATTTGGTGTGTCTCTGCTGAGATGGTCCCAGTGCACCAGGGGGTCAGCTCAAAGGGCATCAGTCTCACTGTATCCCATCGTCTGTCCTATCACGGTGGGTGGAGGAAAATCTGTCACTCGTCTGCCTGTAGTTTTGACAGATTTTGACCTCTTCAGTTCACATTCGTAAACATGTGTTTCAACTGTCGGATAGTACGAAAACTCAGATACTGCTAGTGCACCCGACACCAGATGTTTTTTTTTATGTGATTCTAACCAGCCAATCAGCACAGATTGTCAAATGTCCTTCCCACACAAAAGATGTCTGTAAAAAAAGACCTAAAATACAAAATATACCAGACTCCAGTGAGCAGCAGGAGGAACAACATAAAATCAACTGAAATAAAAATGAAGAAAGTGAAGCATTATAATATGAGACAGCACAGAAAATGAGTCAGCACCCAATAAGGAACCGAATAATTTAACAAGAATCAACAAATGCAAATCGCAACCGGTTGACTTTTGTCCATTTCTGAATATTTATACACTCATTTTCAACAATTTCATCCTTTGCTGGAACCAATCCAGCAGTTATCAGGGCGGTCCACTCCGGTCCATCACAGAACCACACAGAGACAGAGAACCATCCACACCTATGGTCAGTCTTAAATGAACACTAGGTCTATATGATTATGAGCGAACTCCATAAAAACACTCAAATCGGTACCAGTGATCTTTCTGTAAGGCAAGATTTGGACCCTCCTTCCACCGTGTAACCACTCTATGCATGCTGAAGATATACTGTATATACTGTATATATGGCAACACTCACATTTATACCTGTACAACAAATATAATCTGAAAGTATTTTGAGCTGTGGTAGGAACCCTTGGAGAATCCAGAGAAAATCTACGCACACACACAGAGAACATGAGAAATCTACAGAAAGACAGAAGATCGTCAGTGATCTTCCTCCTGGTGCCCATTGTCTATCTGCGAATATGAATGTAATATTTGAGAACTGCTGTTTGATGTGAATCTGTGATTTTCTGATAAATCATGTTTCAGAAAAGCACGAAAAAAGTCTTTCTTTTTTTTTAAAACCTCAAATTTTTCTCAAAAATTTCCTCTGGACCAAAGGTAACATTTGGATAAAAGTTGCATATGTAAAAGAAATGAGTACCTGAACCAGAAAACTACTTAGTATTCGACACATGGAGTACTGTTAATCCAGGAGAGGATGAAACTCAAGGCTTTATGTTTTACAAAGCAGATGAACTTCAGAGTCTATTTTGAAGATATATGACCGTTATCTTCTCTTTTATTTTAATATATCTCAGAGCCAGTCTGGGAAGTGAGTCCTGATATTTTTTTAATACAACATCTAAAGAAGGAAACATGTTATTGGGCATGTCATTTATCTCTTTCCTCTAATTCTGCTGTTCTCAGTCCATCATTTGTAAGAGAACATTAGTTGTTCTCCAGCTCAAGAATCAAATGGCACCAGTCTGCATTTGTCTTCATTAAGCTGTTATGTTATATCCTTAATGGGATTGGCAGTATCAGAGAAGTACTAAAGTATATTCATTCGCTGGCACCGGAGCTGGAAGAAGACGGTTTTAACCACAATTCAAAAAGCTTTTAGTGCTGTCATCAACGGGACATAATGGAGAAACGGGAAAAAACTGTTCGTCGGACGGAACCTGCACTTTGGCAGGTGTAGAAGGAATTGTCCTCTTTGCTATTCTATAAATCTGATTCTGGAAAAAAAACACATTCGTCTCCAAAGCAGGTGAGAACTCATACTTCATACGCTGGCTCTGATGAAGGGCTGTTTCAGTGTCTGTTGGTGTGTGTTCCTGCAGTAGTTCAGCTTTACTTGTCGGGGTATGGTTTTAGAAGAATACTACTTTAGGGACACATGACGTGTCCTCATGGAGTAGGAAGTTTTTTTGGAAACAAAGTTGGACTCAAGGTCAGAGTTAGGGTAAGGCTTGGCTTGTGAGAGTTAAGGTTAGGGGTAATAGCATGGGAATGCATTATGGCTACTTGACATGCTCAAAAGAAAGTGGGTTTTTATGTGTGTGTGTCTGTGTGTGTGTACATAGTGTAAGTGATGTTATTTCAGTTTTCTATTAAGTCCAAAAACATGTAGCCTGCTGATTAGCTTGGTGACTTTCAGCTGACTCTAGAAAGTGAAGGACTCTGTGCTTATACATTTTGATAACAGGATCATTATTCCATTGTGATTTAATTTTGGCCTCACGTTGGTCAGGATAAATTGCCTTTGCACCAAGTCTGACCTGTATAAATCCACATCTTCTATTTATCACTTAAATGTGTCACTCTCTATTTCTCAATAGAGAAGAGGTTCTCCAAAAGCAGGTCCGTGACCCCTAGAGGGTGCTGCGGGCGGGTCGTACTGCAACCATGACGTGTACTAAGGTTGAAGCTTCTGGACTCAACTGTTTTAATTTGTCTCTCACAGCTGACTAAGCTGGAGCAGGTCAAAGAGAGGACGAGGTTTTGAGATAACGCAGTCTCTCATAAGAAGAAGATGGTCTTCCTCTTCTTCTTCTTCTTCTTCTATCTCTGTATCTATCTCTGGTCAGAGGTACAAAGTCGGTCCAAACACAGAACAGCTGCTAGAAATGTCAAAACAACAGGAAAAGTCTACATACGTGGACGTCACTGGGAAAGAGCTCAAGGAGAGGCTGCTCCAGAGAAGGCTAAGAACTGGCAACAACAGACAGGAAGTGAGGAGTAGATGTGTGACACAGGGGAGGAGTCTTTAAATAAGGTGTAACAATAAGTGATTATCTAAAGTCTACTTTTCCTTCCTGGACGTCACACTCAGGGTCAGTTATAAATATTCAGTGTAATTACTGCCCCGTGTGTCATTAAACGTCTTGCTTGTTAACGGTAATTTCTCTATGAATAAAACTGATGTTTAATGCAGTGTCCAACTACATTATGTCTTTTGCCAAATGCACAGCCGCAGAGCCCTGTGGTAAAGAAAAATGTGATTGACGTCAAAGCTCTAAATAAGGACTTTTATGAGCGTGAAGTCAACGGAAGATTCACAGCAAAGCTTTTTCTCCTCAGCACTTTGGCGCCGACTGGTTTGTGGCTGCTTTCCTGTGAAGGGCATCGCTTATGACAGTCGGCTTACGTTGTTTGCAGCTGAGATGTTTAAGAACTGTCAGTCGAACTAGTGGCTGTGAAAAACATATTCAACCAACATCCTATTAAAACCCCACAGTTCACATTTTAAACATTGAGCGAAATTTATGCAGAAGCTCTGCAGAAAATATTCATCTGGTGGAATTTTTATTGGTGGTTCTTTCCTCCAAAATATCTCCTGCTCCCTGTCCGTTGAGTTCATTTTTTATCCTGTATATACAGTATATATATCACTGTTATTGGCAACGGTTATACTGTAGGTCAACACCGTCTACAGAAGATTATTTAAAGAGGGTTCAACCATAAAATAAAGGAATTGAACAGAAGAGTTTTTTTATGAAGAGAAATTCATAAAAAAATTATGCAAAAGCTCCAAGGTCAAGTCAAGATCGCCGACTATCACTCAGAAAAATTATTGATTAGGTTCAACACAAAGTTTTCCTACTGTTCACCAGTGTATCCTAAGTATTGACCTTTGAGTAAAGAAGCAGCGATGAGTAAATATTCCTTTGTCAAGTATTATGACAAAAATGTTTCCTTAAGAAGACCGTTAAGATATAAAATCATATTTCTGTCTCTTTCCAGAGGATCTCATCATCTCCAGAATTATTCAGCTCTGCTCTCAGTCACAGTTGGATCTAAATGATGAACTGCATTAGTCTTTACTATTTTACAGTCTCTTTACTAAGGATGCCAAACGATTCGATTATCAAATCTGATTAATCACAGGGCAGCCGTGAATGACTCCCTGCCCTTAGCTGGCTGAGGCTGGTCTGCTGCAGGCCCCCACAAACGCATGTCGGGTGTTTAGATGGTATTGTAAGCTTGAGGTGCTTCAGTAAACAAAACAAATGTGTACGACTGCACATCACAGCAACAATACGTGGATGGAACAAATGTTAATCATGTACATTTCCAATCACTCCACTTTGGACCGAAGCAGAGTCAACTTATTCTACATCTAAATTTAGGTGCAAGAGTGAAAAAGGCCCAAACTCCTTCATGTACTGTATAAAATGTGTTCTATTTGACTGACCCTGGTGGCACATAATAATAGTCTGTTTTGTTATGATACACCCAGTAAAAACTATTCAAATAATACATAGTTTGCTGGCATTTATCAGCACACCTTGTCAACTGATACGAATGCCATTTATCAATGTTTTTTGTCAGTTTTCTAATCAACCACCAGAAGATGTTGCGTTTCCTCTGCAGCTCCTGCTGCCTGTCAAAGAGCTCTGCTTTAGAATATTGATTTTTAAGTTTTTTTCTACATCACCCTTTTACAAATATACACTTGGTTTAACATGCTGTTCAATCATAAGACAACTTACGAAGATGATCAGCTGTTTGAGGTGTTAAACGCTTCTGCCGTGAACTTTTGTGTCCAATTAGCCTAATCCATAATCTGTTTGTTATCCAACTGTTTGATGAAATTAGAAAAACCCAGAAATACCCTCACACTCATGAGCCATCTGCCTGAGCCGGTGAATATGTTTGTAATTTCCATACTGTGCAGCAACAGTACCTGCTGAAAACATGTTTTAGTTAGAGTGGTATTTTAATGCAGAATTTAGAAATAATTAAATGCTGTCACAGTGTCATTGTTGAAGCACCGAATGCAAAGTTGGCTCAGAGGCTTCTGCACAGTCCTGCATAATGCAAATGTACTCCAGAAATGCATTAAGATAAGTGATTTCTGCTATTCTTTCCTCCACTTCCATTACCTTATAATGGAGCTCAGCAGGTTTTTATCACATTTTACAATTGAGGGGAGTGATGATTGTGATGTGCCCTCATTTTCCTGTCCATTATACTGCGCTAGAGCCAAAAGCCACAGGTGGCGCTCCATTTCACAGGCTGCCTATGCCAACGTCTGACATGCCGGAGTGACAGTTTGTGCTGTACTGCTCATGTACGAGCGCCGTCCATTTGTCTCTGACTCTCTGCGCGTTTTTAAAAAGCCATAGCGGAGCTTGATGTGTCCATAAACGTCTCTTCCAGCCACTGAGACAAATAGATGACAATATATTATATTAATGCAGCGGAGACACAAGGGTGACCAAGGCATGAATGGCAGAATAATAGGATGATGGGTCTGAGTAAGCACTGCGGTGCTGAGTCCATGCATTAATTAGCTCAAACAAGGCAAGCGTGAATGACTGTCTGACAGGCTGTGGTTTAATCCCGGCTCCAGGAGGAAGTACATTTGATTTATTCTGTAAACTGCGTGATCCTTTTTTTCACTACTTTTTCTCTCTCAGCATATTCCTGACATATGCATCTTTTATTTGACAAGGTTGTGTTCTAAATGCTGCTAATGATGATGAATCGTTAGCGACAGCGGTCTGGGCCACAGGATGAGTTGTTATGCAGAGTGTGTGTACGAGCATGTGAGTGTGAGTGTGTGTGTGCGTTCATCTGAAGCTTCACAAATGTGTCGGGCTTGACATTTTGACAGGCCTCTGCAAACTGTTCACGTTGATTGATGTGCATGGGCGCTGCTCCTGGGTGCCGGCGTCCAATGAAAAGCAGAGGTTGCGGCTGAAAAACTCCCTATTTATCAGCATCTTAATTATACAACAGAGTGGCTCAGGACCTTGTTAGTCTGAGAGAAATAGCCATTGTTATGCTATACCTGATGTTGTGGAAGCAATTCCCTCTGTGTTTATATTTTGCCTTGCAGCTTTAGAGATAATGGGTGATTTATGAGGACTATTTTTCCAGCCACTGGTTGAGGACAGAGGTACTTTCAGTAAACAAAAGCCCCCCCGTCAGACACATCACTAGCACCAAAGGAAGTGCTGTTATGCTCAGCATATTTGCATTTAAGCTATTGTGCGTTTGGCAAATGAATTTCTGAGCGAAGTATCAGATAGATGGGAACAACAAAATAAGGCTGCTCTGATGCCTTTATTCTCCTGCCCCCACCTCCCGGCCCCCACGGTCTCTGGGCTCCTTATACAGTGCTTCCACTTCCTAACAACTTCCACCTTAAAAATTTCCATTAGTGCCTCAATTTCCTCCAAAATAATAAAAAGGGAGAGCAGTCCCTCTGGATGTACCTAAAGCTGTACTCAAGCAATGCAAAACAGTGCTTAATTTAGTTCTGATGAACAAATCCGCTGTGAGCCTCCACCTCGACGGTGCATATGGAGATGAGCTGCCGCCACTCAGATTAATGCGCTACACGTAGAGCAGCTGGTCTGAGGAGGCGAGCCAAATATGAAAGAGGTCTCCTGTGCTCGTCTCTAATTCAATCACATAATCGGAGTCCAAATTGTAACAAAAGCTTTGGTTTGAGGAGTGAAGTACTAGAGTACACCTGACAGAGAGTCCAGCCGTAGAACACATGTAGGTGTTCAGTGAGAGTGGCCTTTGCAGAGAGCAGCCATGTTCAGTGTGTCTGTGGAATTAAATGAATGTTTGGTACATGTGTCTGATGACGTCTGACATCATGAATAAATAGTAAATAAATAAAGTAAAAATAAGTAAATATTCTTGGTTTCTATGGCAGTTTTTTAAATTTTTGAGAAGTAACATTACTAATTTTTTTCTTATCATCAACTCCTCAATGATTTAACTACCATTTGTCATTTAACTTATGAGCTAACCTGTGTCACCTTTGTGTTTTTGGCATTGAGCACATGTAAATCCTTAAGTAAACCAAATGTAACATTTTTTTTGTCATCTGCCATTTTATTCATTAATGTTATTTAGCTATGGTATGTTGTCTTAAATTCCACATAAAAAGCTTTGCTTCCTTTTATAGCCACTGACAGATTTTAAGCCATAGGCAAAACCTAACATAAACTTCAAATGGACCTGATGTAGTTAAAACTGCGTCTCTCACACTCTCACAGCCAGAGTACTATTTTAGGAAGGAATACACAAAAGCCCAGATGTAAGTCCGCCCTGCACTGAGAGGAAAGAAATGAGGGGCAGCTCAGTTGGTCTCTGAAGTTCACTCAGATGTCAGGAACTCTGCTACAGGGAAAAAGAAGACAAGGCGAGCTTAGCTCCTGAACTACGAGCTGAGAACCAGTCGTTGCAGCCAATGGCGTCATTTTACAGTCAAATAAGAGCTAACCTTTGTTCGACTCGGAAGTTTAGTATAGATGAGGACAAGACACCTGCCAGAGGAACTAACATTCAAACATCAGGGGATGAGGCTGACGGCTCTAATTTGCAGTGTGAAACAGTTAAGCAGAATTACTTCTACTGTATATTAGTACTACTACTACTACTACAGTACATAAAAAGATTTAGTACATGTGTTTTTTCTGGTTACATCTCTGACACACTGTTCTTATTACTGGGACTGAGGATATCAACGTCTGGATATTAGGTCTCAGCAAGTATGTTGTTGACATAAAAACATGGAAACGTTGCAGCAACACTGACCTTTGACCTTGGATAACCCAGTGAGTTGATTAGACCCGAGCCATTTACAGATCATGTGGAGAAGCATTTTTCTGACAGTTACTGTAATTGCTATTTGATTTGTGGCTCTTTCCTGTCGAGTATGTCAAGTTGGGAGCCCAGTTTTCACTTGGTGATAAATTTGAAACATGACATAGCGTTTCCACATCACTGTGCATTAAATATTAACTACGGTGCACAAGGGGGAGACTGGGAATCTGAAATGTTCTATTACTCATCATTTGCAGGTCAAACTTATCAAATAATGTATCCATGCTAAAGGCTAATCACCGGGTAGCTTCGTCACAAGCAATTGTGATCTGAGTTAATCATATTTCATCATGATTAATTGAGAGTTTCTTTCAATACTTCAGCGAAGCCAATTTCTTCAACAATATCAATCGGTCCGTAGTTCTTCGCCTTCTCTGACTGCAGCTATCCCTGAGCTAACAAGTTATTTTTTTAGCAAACAGCAGAACACATTGCCGACATGAAACCCTGACCTTTATGATTTGACCGTAACTCTGGTTATTGTAATAAAATCTCTATGGACCTGTCTATGAATAAATCAACAATTTTTCGCCCCCAGTGGTGTATTATTATACCCCATCTACTTCAGAGGCTTCTCTTTTTCAAAGCAGATGACTGTGTTCATCATCATATTCATTTGTACCAGAGATGACTTCATTGATAGGGACGTGTTTGTGAATTTCTACTAACTCAATTATTTATTTTGTTTTTTCGAACAGCTGAAAGAACATGATTATTAATTTTTAAATTTATAATTATTGTTGCACAAAACAGCATGTGATTATTGTTTTATAAGGTGTGCTGCAGTCCTGGTTAAAAAATAACCCTGGTCAAAGATTATTCATCCCATTGAGTTTGTATTTGATTAAACATATAACTTGAAATACTATTTTTTTTAAAAGGTACAGGAATATATCCAGAACTAAATATCAAGGCAAGATATGCTTCTGCCACCGTGTGTGACTCAATGATCTACCCTATTTAAACTGCTAGGGCTACACTGACAACCTTGTGCGCCTAAATCTTTGATTCTGGACCAAGCCTCAGAATTTACTGTACTGTAGAGAAATACTACAGGTTTACTGGCACGACCAAAAACGTGGAGGTTTTTGTCATGTGCCTTTCAACTTTCTTTTAACCAACACTACAAAATAAATCACACGAGCAGACATCAATTATTCTGCCCCCCATTGTTTCCAATTTATATTATCACAAACACTCACACACACCAACCACATTAAAATGCACTGTATGAACTGTTTACTAAGTTCTTCTAGAACCTTAACTCTTGTTCTCTCCTTGTACCACCACCAGGACCGAATTGCTATGCGGACACGACAGTAATACCAGCTGGACGGGAGGTGAAGATCAATGAGTGTACAATCTGTTACTGCACATACGAGGAGGGAACGTGGCAAATTGAGCGCCAGGCCACCTGCACTAAGAACGAGTGCCAGCACAGCTAAAGAGCAGCATGGCCACAGAGAACATTGGCACACAAAACCAGCGCTGGTCCACTTGTAAACTTTAGCCTTTCACCCAGTCTACCGGACATCAGGGTCAGACAGCAGCCCTTAAACAATCCATCATTTATTACATGATCCCTACTGCATTATAGAAAAATGCTTTTCTGAAGGTTTGTAATTCACCCACAGAATATCTATTTATCTATGTATTAAATTATTTATGAATATATTAAAATACCGGGGTCATTCAAGCTTAAGGATTTGAAAAAAAAAAATATTTTTATAACCTCTGTTTTGTATTCAACAATGAAACCAGAGGTCAATAAAACATGATGTACAGAAGACTAACTGGCTTTAAAGGCCTGAGCCTCAGTTTTTCAACACGCGGTGTCACCTGAGAGACCCAGACACCTACTCCTTTACCACCAAAGTAAAGACTACAATTGTGTAATCACATCTTAGAACGATATGGTTTACTGTGAAATAAAAAAGAACGACGCAAAGTCAACGCAGAAGGAGAATCAGACGACATGAACAGAAACTGTCAACAGGAACCCTGACTGTTTCCTGTTTTCCTATCTTTTTGGATGTACAAACGTGTTCTGATTTGAAAGTGATTTTTTTGTATTTCTCTTGTTACTGTGTTCATGTTTCAAATAAATGCACATCTGTGTTCTGTATTTGCTCAAGTTTTACTTTTCACCTGTAAAGTCCTAATAGATTTTGCTTAAAAAATGTGGTGCTCTATTATTAATGACAGGGAATACGGGAATTTATGTAAAAAAAAAAACAAAAAAAAAAACAAAGCACAGAAAAGTAGATCCCTTGGTCAATAAATAGGCAACTAGATCAATGCTGTGTTTATCTACATCACTGCTGTCCCATTGTCTGTTTTTTTTTAGAACAAGCAGTACATTGATCCAGTAGATGGCAGTAATGCAACTGAAAGGAAACAAGCTGCCACTTAAACCTGAGAAGAAGTCACTGGTAGGGCCAGCTACAGAACCAACTCATAGATCAAATGTATTCTGAATTATATTGTATTTATATTAACAGATATAGTTGTGAAATTTTCAAATTGTGAAGACGTGTTGCCTCAGTCTGTTCGGCGATGACTGGACATTATTGGCTTTGACATGTCTGTCATGAGATGTATTTCTAACACTGTGTCCTCATAACTCACTAGAGATACGTCAAGGTCTTTGTGAAGTGGAAAGCAGACATAGTTTTGTAGCCATGACTTATTGCAGACACTATGCTCCTAGTGTTGACACTTGCATACTGTATACCTGGACTGGACACTACTGTATGTGAAAAACAGTATTTTTATTTATAGTTTTTTTATTCATTTATATCATTTATTCAGTGTGAAGAATAAAGTCAACATTTTCAGGATTGTTTAGCAATCTATGGCTGCACTTAGAAGAAATGACATCCATATATAGTAAATATAGTTCAAGGTTCATCTAAGCAAACATAATTATCGTGGTGTCCCTCAGGGGATGACCCTTGGGCCACTTTTGTTCCTATTCTTTCTGACTACCAGTTAAACCAGAGCTGCAGGCAGCACTAACCACATGTCAGGGCTTGATGTGATTTTGACTTTGCTTTGAGGTTGGATCAGACAGGATGCTGTGCAACCTTGAGCTTCAGTGCTACGCCAAGATCACACTGGCCAAATTGAATGTCCATACAAATGACTGCTTTTAAACTAAATCAGATGGTAAATAGGACTCCATCCCTTAAAAATGGGTAAAATGTGTCCACATTCATTATGTGTAAAGGTGCAGGTATTTACTAACAGTATAAATGTGCTCATATTTTTGACTTTTAAGATCATGTTTTTCTCTTTTACTGTCTATTTGTATTGTTGTCCATTGATGCTCAAACCCTAATACGATCTGTAAGTCTCTACAAATGTAGTTTTGTTATAATTATCCCTATTATATATTTTTACATAGGGGAGTAACACATAACTCTACCTTGAAAAGGCAAATATTAAATTAGTTTTCCTGAGGATGTTGAGTTTGCCTTTTGGGAGTGTGATACTAATGCTGAATAAAGTCTACACACTCTTTAATAAAGGCAAAACTGGACGCTTCAATGTCACTGATCCCAATTTGCTTCCAAAAACCTAAAACCTAAAATGTCGGGGAGCTTGTAGCAGATTTTTTCTTGTCTTTCCCTTTTATTTAAAGGTAAAAGATAATGCATTCATGTAGCTGACACAGTTCTCACAGAGCGGCAGTTCAAATGATGATTAATAATTCAGCTCCAGGTAATAAACACTGAAGGGCAGAGTATGATAATTGGAGGCAGTTGCCGTGTACCTGCTTTTTCCCTGTTATCTTTTGCAATCGAGGTGCAGTGATGTCAGCATCACCCTTTGAGGAAGTGATGGCCATGCCGCAAGACTCTTTGATCAAGGGGTTGCCAGACAACGGCGTTGCACCTCCAGCAGGGAGACGTGCCTGCCAGCCTGCCACCAGGATTGAGGTAAATAAGCTTAAATGCATGTGCATGCATCATGGCAGGCTCCTCTCAGATCAGCGGGGGAGCCGTGACAGACATCTATTAGTTTTTCTGGTCAGGTTGAACTTAACCCGTTGGTGCGACGCTAAGGGTGCTCTCAGAGCAGACTCACTCATTTGAGAGACACCAAGACATGTGCTCGTGCATACGGGAAGCAAATGAGTGGAGGATTTTCCTGTCTTCCCCACAACCATCACCTATATCATAAACAGCTCATTTAAATGTGTTTAGTTTTCTCTCCACTGCAGCTCGTCACTGTATCTCCTCTCTGTACAGTCTCCTGTACACACATAATCTCCTTTCAGCTAATCCTTTCATAGCTCTCGTATTTTCTACTTTGACACCAACCATCTTCACATCAACTCTTCCTTCTTTCTTCACAACCTGGTGTTCAACACATCTCCACTCTATCTCTGTATTTCTGCAGATTCATCTTGACTGCCTCACTGAGTTTATGACCAAAGTGTTCAATACTTGGTCCTCGTTTTTCATTTTGTCTCTCGTGGTCTGAGCTGGTTCAAAAATATCATCATATATACAGTAATATACAGTAACCGTGATGCCTTCATCTTAGCCTACGGTTTTACTACTAACTAAATATTGTAAATAAAACAAACACCCTTGTTTGCCATGACACTGTCCTTTTCAGGACTGTTTTTTTTTAACCTTTTTTAAGTGTGCACACTGGATTATACTGTCGTTTAAAAAAACAACTAGAAAAACAAGAATTTGTTATACTTAAATAAATAAATAAAAAATGTATCAAGTCTGAAAATGTCACAATCCAATTAAAAAATATAAATTAAAAAAGTTATATATATTTAACATTTTTGTAAAACGTATCATTTTTATTTTTTAAATAATATTAAAGTTATATGTTTGTAAATATTTTTAACTATATATATAGATTTATGGATGTATAAGTAATAATTAATTTGAGAAGATTAATCAGATTAAGGTTTTAGAATCCAATATCTGAAGGATGGTTTTTGAATCCCAGTCATGGATGTGACCAGGGCTGACAATCTGTTCTTCACAGATACATAGAGAGTAATTTCCCCCTGACATGATTAGTGGAGAATAGCGTAAAAACCCCCGTCTCACACTGTCAATCAAATGTCCGCTTCTATACTGTACTTATATACTACACCATCTCTTTTTACTGAGCATTGTGCTGTATATTAAATCATCATTTTAGTCTCTGACATCATTTTCTGTGCTCCATCAGCTCCACTCGGCCTGCACTCTACACCTCTCCTCTGCACAGTCTGTTACTTTAGATGGTTGACCCCAGTTGTTTAAATTCTACACTCGAAGAACAAACACTTTTTTGTTTCTAACTGCATCAGTACAGTCATCTATCCTACCATGAACATATAAATAAAATGGAAAAAATCCACATCCACAGTCTCTTTCCATGTCCCAATCAACACAAAAATCCAATAATTCTGTCCTTGGGGCAAACCTTACTCCTATCTCCAGAAAATGTCATCAAAATCCATCTTCTCCTTCCTGGGTTATCCTGCACACAGACCCCCCCTCCAACTCTGCTGACAACATGGACTCTTTGCAGAGGTAATAAATAAATAAATAAATAAAATGCACCAAAAATACAAACTTACAGCTCAGACTAAGGCCGTGTTCTTTCATTTTACAACAGAATGCTGCACAATGTCTAATTTCCCCCAGCAGCTTTCCTGCTGCGTCTCCGCCTGGAAAGTAATGACTCTGACCGAGGATGTTATCTGTCACCCCCATCTGCTGTGTCCAGGCCATTAACATTTACAAATGGCTTCAGATTGGTTCAAATACCAGCGCTAACACAACTTTGGTTCTGTGTAGCACTGGAAAGAAGAAAGCGGCAATAAAAAAAAACTGTCTATAAAGTCTGCACATCAGAAACAGCGTCGCGTCTGAATCTTTGACATCAAACTCCCAGCAGTGGTTACCATCTCCAGCCCTTCAAAGACGTGACATTAATTAGAAGCATCTCTCAGAGAAACCCACAGGCCATGCACTGGGGCTCCACAATGCTGTGATTGTGTAATTAGACCTCTCTGCTGCACAGTCAGATGAGATGTGTTCATATTACAGTAGGTGATGAAATCCATTATTATTTTATGGCAATGAGCCCCTTCTGTCATTTCTAAACAAAGAACTCTGAACCCTCTGGTCAACGATGGAAAAGACCCCGAAGAGTCACAATTAGACTTTTCCTCACTCACAAAAGAAAAAATGGGGGGGGGGGGCATAATTGGCTCCTAGGTGAAGAAAATTAAGAGTGTGCCGTAATCATAATGGCATTAAATTTTAAATACACCTTAGTTTATTATTCTGTGAATCTTCATAAAAAAAATCTACACCTGCACCAGAGTGTGAGTCTCAGTTCCTTTAGCATCAGCGCTGTTTTATTTAGCCCTGTGAGCATGTTATTGTACTGGCATAAGAGCAGGGTAATTAAATATTGTTTCATTTTTGTGCTAGGTCAGGGTGTCCGAACCTTTTTCTAAGGGTGGCAAATTAGGTGATATAACAATACCCCAGGGCCAGCTTTAGACTTTAATTAAATAGCAAAACAAGACACTGCATTTTTAACACAATAATTTAGTGCATAATAAAACCCCTAGTTACGCTGATAATGTAATCCATGCTCTGTTAGGAACAGATTCCAAGGAAAGCTTTTGTCAAACTCGGTAAACAATTCGACCTGAAAGAACTACAAATGCACCATTCTTTGAAGTAAAGATGCAGGTTAATATCGCAAGTGAATACTAAAATAAATAAAAACAAGGAAAGTGATAAGTCAAGCCAGAAATAGAAGCTAAGAAATTATTCAATAAATTCAAAATAAAAAATAACCCTACAAAATATTAGTTAAATTGCACCTTAAAACTTTTATATATATATATAAAAATGTTATTGTGTTTTTGACTTTGTTTAGAAAATGGTTATAAATAATAATGGGCCACATTTACTTTGTATATGTACTGCATTCGGACCCAGAGCCAGACCTTGAACAGGTCTCTGTAAAGTGATCATGTTTGTTATTTATTGCTGATAATAGAAATTAAAGATCATTGATTGTATTATTTATACAGGTTTCCAGTTTTGACTCTACAATATAACAAATATTTCTTTTTCTTTTTCAACATTTATTAAAACCAATTATTAGTTCATGGCAAACGTATACTATATATTATATTATTTTTATGAACTAAAATCAACCTTTTTGCTTTTGCCTGTGGGTTAAATTATGTG